CCACTCCCTGAACTTCCCAGGCCAGGCCAGTCCACATGTCCTGCTGTCCCTGGCCTCTCGCTGGCAGCAGCAAATGAAGAAGGCCAAGGGCAAGGCTGTCAGCAGCAGGAAGATGATGGCAGTGTGTTCACCACCATCAGGCCTGAGCGAGTTACTGACACCTTCTGGAGGCGGGAGCCCAAGCAGAGATGATTTCCTGGAGGGAAGGGACTGGAGGCAGTGGCCACTCATTTCCTCACTGACTGCAGAGAGGCTAAAGTTTCCAGAACTTGAAAACTACCAAGCTACTGAACTCCTTCCCAGGCGGGTACTGTGTGTGTGTGTGGCGGGGGGAGGCATTCTTTAGGGCGTCTTCTCCAGGTGGTGATCCTGCTCTCAAGAGAGGGAAGCAACCATGGGAAATGGTTATTTCTCTCTCATTTCCCCCCTCATTCTATCTCTCTATATTTAATAAGCACACACAGAGAACCCATTCTGCTGTGTTCTGGGCCTTTTGAGGCACCAGTATGTGCAACGCCACTCTGCTTGGCCACTGAGGTGGGGGGAGGTGTGCACAACAGCCACTGTGGGATTTCCTAGGTGATGTTTTACTTTGGAGGTCAGCTGGGCAGGACTATGCTTTGTGGTCAGACATTATTTTGAAAGGTTTTGTGGTGGTGTTTTTTTGGGGGGGGGCAGGGATAACTGAAATTTTTTGAGTGGAGTGGATTGCCTGATTGCCCCATAGTGAGAATGAATGGGCCTGGTCTAACCACTGGAAAGTCCTATATTATCTCAAGAATGGCTTCCCCCAGGCAAGAAGAAATGTTGTAGCAAATACTTTCTGACTTGAAATGCATCATCATCATCTCTGTACCAGGGCTGCAGATGGCCAGCCTCAATAACACACAAGCCATTCTTTAGCTAAATACATATTTTTACACATTAGGGACTTACTGATTTTGTCTTTTTTTTTTTGACAGGGTTTCACTATATTGCTCTGGCTGTCTTGGAACTCATTATGTTGACTAGGCTGACCTTGGACTCACAAAGCTCTACCTGCTTATGCCTCCCAAGTGCTGGAATTAAAGATGTGGGCCACAAAGCTCAGCTGATTTTACTTCATCTTTTAAAGAAGTGTGTGTGTGTGTGTGTGTGTGTGTGTGTGTGTGTGTGTGTGTACACATGCATGCAGGTGCCCTTCTAGGCCAAAAGAGGGCGTTGGATCTCCTGGACCTGTAGTTATATACTGTAACTGACCCAGGATGGATGAACCTGTAAGAGTAACAAATGCTCTTAGCTTCTGAGCCACGTCTCCAGCCCTGATTCTATTTCTCTGGTTGACTCTGGTTGATGTACTTTCTAGTTTCCACACACGCCTGTGGCATCTGTCTGGGGCCACCAGAGCCTCAAGGCTACTCTCTGCCGTTCATCTTCTCTGTGGCTGTTTCCCAGCCCCCGTTCCTCTTGCACCATTACTTTGGGCTTTTCTCATATAATTACTGCGCACTGACCAGCTTCGGCCCTGGAGCTCTTGGCTCTCACTCTGTCAGACTTTATCCTTGGTGAATCAAAGGGAGTAAGGCAGAACGGAGAAAGAAGCACACATCCTGTCACTTTCAGTGGCACTCAAGGCCAAATTTACAAATTGAGCATCATCACAGAAAGCCTTTCCTCCCAGGCTAGGGGAACACAGTTACTAAATAAACCCATCCTTCAAGAGGCCTTTGAGACCCTTTAGCACCGTTGTGTATCCGGCGCTAGAGGTGGACCAGGCTTCAGTCCATCCATATGGGATTACCATTGTGCACCACCACCCCAGTGGCATTTCAGGGAAGGGTGCCTGTCTTCTTTGGTCCCAGGAGAATGATTTCTTTTCCAACTGCTTCCTGAGAGCTCTTTAGGGCTCCAAGAACTTTGTCCTTTTCTGCTAGAACTTATCCTCACCACACTGAAAATAGATAAGTGCCTTTCTGTCTGGCTAGGGTTCAAGGATGCGGATGCATGCCTGTGCTTCAGGGACCTTCAGGCAAGCAGAGCCTCTCCTCTCTGCCTTGTTTCTGCACAATATCTGCACAATAAACAAGGAGGCTGGGAGCCTTTCACTGATGCTTTTGTTCAGATGAAGGCCAAGTTAGAGAACTTAGCTTTGGTCGTTCTTAGTAAATTTACAATGTGATGGAACCATGTGCAACACAGGACCACACAGGATGGGGCCTGTGGGGAAGAAGAGCCAGTGCTGGGGAAGTGAGTGGCTGGCTTCCCCTGAAAGTCACTCCCCTCCAGGGAGAGAGCAGGTTGACCTCTGCAAGCCCAACACTTTCCTTCCCAGGTCTCCCAGTCAGGGGGTTGTCCAACAAATCCTTCCTCATCCAGCCATGGGGTAGAGCAGGCTTATTTGACCTGCTGGGATAGCACTACCCTCCCATTGTGCTTTAGAAAGAATAGGGGCTGAGGAGATGGCTTAGTGAGTAAAGTGTGAGGATCTGAGTTCAAATCGCCAGAACCCATGTAAGAGCCAGGCATGTTAAAATGTTCCTGTCATCCCAGTTCTGTGTCTCTGGCGGCAGAGACAGCTTAGTTTCTGGACGCTCCCAGGGCAGCTTGGCTGGCATATGTAGCAGCCAACATCAAACCAAATGAACATTAACACCCGAGGTTGTGGTCTGAATCCCCCCATCCCGTGTGTGAGCATGAAATTGCACACCCACACCACATATACACAGATAGAAAACCAAAGTGATGGCACTGACCCCTCATTTTACATATGGGAAAACTGGGGTCTCAGGTCAGGCCACTTCTCACTGGAGTGTTCTGTAACCTTAGTCTGTCATTTGTGTGTGGCAGATGCTGGGGCGGATACTGTCCCAAATCCAGTCCCAAAGCAAGAAGAGAACAATCTTTGCCTCTTCCCGTTGCTAAAGCTCAGGGAATCCCCATGCCACCTTGGCACGCTGTCATGTAGAACCTGGGAGCAGGCCCTGGAAGACTCTGCCCTTAGGGAATCTTGGCACAGTGCTGTAATTGTGGATCCAGGAAACACTGCCCTTGGCTCATTTAATTCTCTCCACATAATTACAAGAGGGAGAAATGAAATGTCAGGAGGAAATACGCATTTAATTCATGTTAAAGAGCCCCGTTCAATTTTTAATCCTGGCCCTTTCTGTGCCTGCCTCGGTCCTTTGTCACCGTCAATCAGTTGAAAAAATGATTTCAAAACAGAAAAGGACAGGGGAGTGGATGAGCAGCCCTTCCCATTTCATCTTCCTCTGGCTCCTGCTAGGATTTTTAATTTTGAAGCCTGGTGAGGAGACAGGGGTAGCCTTTGGCCCACTGAGAAGCAGAATAATCTTAAATGGTGATAGACTTGGGGTGATGGGGCGGGTGTGTAAGATTTCCATCACTAACTACCTAAAAAATGAACATTTCTCTCAAGGTTGGTGGCGGGAGTGGGGTGGGGAGAGCAGACATTTCCAATTCCTCCTTAATGGGAATATGAACAAAGCCATTCTAGAGCAAGGGCTTACACGAGCTCTCCTAAAAGAATGTGAAGAAAAAGGAAGAAAGAGAGAGAGAGAGAGAGAGAGAGAGAGAGAGCAGAAATGTGACTTCATTAAAATTTACTCTGGGAAAAACTGTCGCTATCCAAGGCTCGTACATCTCTGAGAGCATCAAGAGCTAAACCTAGACAGGAATAAGCTAGGTAGGTTATTCGCGAGCCACTATGAAATAAATCTGAGGGACCAACAGTGTGGGTGAGCTGACCTAGCTCTCTGGGATCGCCGCGGCCGGCTTGATCTGCCCCCTAGCGGATATATGTGGTGCTGCAGTTCTGGACTGTGGGAAAGCCGGCCACCTTCAGACAGCGCCGCGTGCTGACGCTGTCCGCGCACAGCCTGGCCACCGCTCTTCCCTTGCCTTCGGTCCGCATTCAGCCACCAGCAAAGCCACAGACTAGAGGACTGCAAAGACGCTGGGATCTACTCGTGGTGGCACCGAGCGTGGCGCCGGCAGCTCTCCCATCCTGGGCGTAGAGCCCGCGCATCTCTGAGGCCATCCGCTGCGGTGCAACTTCCCCAGTGGCGAGGCAACTTTGGGCTAACCTGCAGGCTCTTTCCAGGTGGCTGGGTCCTGCGCACCGCACCTTGGGGACAGGATGGCTAGTACCAGTGCGACCATCAGTTTCTGAGGGAAGGCTCTGGAGCCTCTCACACTTCTGGTTCCCGAAGGCGCTCAGGGTACTCCGAGGGGCTTTGAGGCTGCTGGGTTAGGGGTTTCCTGTGAGAGGCGGCGACACCAGGAGTTCCTCTCATAGCAGCCTTGCGTCCTAGGGTGCTAGGCTCACAGGCAGGAGCCCCTCCCTCCGGGAGCCCGGGCTAAGTGTCTTGGATGTGAAGAAGGTGAAGAAGGATGTGCTTGAGCTGAGCTTTTGGGGAACCCCAGGATGATGTACCTGGAGTAAAGCTTACCAAGATGGGGGCTGCCATGGGTGCCCATTAGGAGGTGGCTGTGTTACTGTCCTGAGGGGAGAGGTGTAGGTTTGGGGGCTCCCCGGGGGGAATGGGGCTAGGAGAGGGGTCCCTACTCTCGGGAAAGCGGTTAATCGCGAGCCTCCTCTCTCCGCAGGTAGAGCGCCTGAGAGCGCCTGACACTTTCCCGGGACCCAAGCTCAAGCGCATCTGCAGAGGCTCAAAGGAGGTCTGCATCTTGCAGAGACTCAAAGGAGATCAGGCAAACCGGGATTTCCGCGGTGGTGGCTGAGCAGCCCAGTGGCTGGGCTTGTGTCCTGAGACCCAGGTAACTTCAGATTGCCAGGAAGGGGCCAGGCACGCCCCACAGGCGTCCTAAGAGAAGCGCAAAGATCTTCTCATTGCCCTCTCGGTTTGTTTCAGGGCGGAAGGAGGCAGATCAGTGCCCGGGTGCTCCAGCAGACACCTGGACAACTCATCGGGCCCCGCCCCACGAGCCACGCTTTAAAGAGCAGCAAGGCCGGGCGCTCCCTCGCGGTCACGGTCACGGTCATGGAGGGCACCCCCGCAGCCAACTGGAGCTTCGAGTTGGACCTCGGGAGTGGAGTGTCGCCGGGGGTGGAGGGGAACCTCACAGCCGGGCCACCGCAGCGCAACGAGGCCCTGGCACGCGTGGAGGTGGCGGTGCTGTGCCTCATTCTGTTCCTGGCGCTGAGCGGCAACGCGTGCGTGCTGCTGGCGCTGCGCACCACACGCCACAAGCACTCGCGCCTCTTTTTTTTCATGAAGCACCTGAGCATCGCTGACCTGGTGGTGGCTGTGTTCCAGGTGCTCCCGCAGCTGCTGTGGGACATCACCTTCCGCTTCTACGGGCCCGACCTGCTGTGTCGTCTGGTCAAGTACTTGCAGGTGGTGGGCATGTTCGCTTCCACCTACCTGCTGCTGCTTATGTCGCTCGACCGCTGCCTGGCCATCTGCCAGCCGCTGCGCTCTCTGCGACGCCGAACCGACCGCCTGGCGGTGCTAGCGACATGGCTGGGCTGCCTGGTGGCCAGCGCGCCGCAGGTGCACATTTTCTCGCTGCGCGAAGTGGCGGACGGTGTTTTTGACTGCTGGGCTGTCTTCATCCAGCCTTGGGGACCCAAGGCCTATGTCACGTGGATCACGCTTGCCGTCTACATTGTGCCTGTCATAGTGCTGGCCGCCTGCTATGGCCTCATCAGCTTCAAGATCTGGCAGAACCTGCGACTCAAGACGGCGGCGGCGGCGGCCGAGGGGACTGAGGGATCTGCTGCCGGTGGAGCTGGGCGCGCGGCGCTGGCTCGAGTCAGTAGCGTCAAGCTCATCTCCAAGGCCAAGATCCGCACAGTGAAGATGACCTTCATCATTGTACTGGCCTTCATTGTGTGCTGGACGCCTTTCTTCTTCGTGCAAATGTGGAGCGTCTGGGACGTCAATGCGCCCAAGGAAGGTAGTGCGGAGAGAGGAGAGGGCGGCAGGGGTAGGCCCTAGTTCTGCTATCTCTGTATTTTCAAAGTTCTGGGGTCATCCTGGGGTATGACCTGGTTTGACATTACCATCCCCTGGTCCATAAATTTTGCGGAGATAACCTCTCTGAGTGTCTCCAGGACTTAAAAGTTCTGCAGCATGGAAATACCCATGAAAGTACGAACTCTTGCCAGAATGCAGGCAAAATCTCCAGCACAGGCCTTAGACAACTTTCAGGGTGAAAATCCTTATTATGGAGGTGGAAACTGAGGCAGGGGATTGTCTTTTCCACAGAGAGACAGAATGAAGGTGGGTTTCCAAGCACAGGCTCAGGTTCCTACTTTGAGTTCACTTTAAACGGAACTACTTTATGTTTGGATATGGTCAACCCCAGGAAGGGACGGTTGGTCCTGTGAAAGCTGAACAGCTGTCCAATGAAAACTGAATGAGTCTCCCAAGACAAGCTCCAGAGCCTATCACCAGACGGAGGCCATGGAGAGGCAAATGCCACAGAGGCTTGGGCAGGAACAGAGTTGGGGTGCCCAGGACTGACTTGATTTTGTGAGAGAGGAAGGGGGCCAAGAGGACAATGCTTAGCCTTGACGGGGAGGCAGTGTGGTTGCCACACAGGAGGGAAGAGCCTTCACCCCGGAGACCACTGAGGTTATAGAACAGTGCTCTGAATTTGTTAGCCACCTGGAGGAGGAGCTGGGAAACAGCAGTCCGGGCTCTGGGACTGTGGTTTGTGCTGGGCACCAGGTGCAGCACCCAGACAGCCCCCCTCCCCAATCTCACCAGCCCCCGTGTCTTATTTGGAAAGAGCAGAAGCTGTCATCATGTGTGGCCCTGCCTTACATCTTTTTTGAAGATTAGCACAGCCCACATCTGTGCGGTCTGGTCTTTACAGACCTGGCAGAAAGGACTTAGCTGTGCTAACCCTGGATAGTGCAAAATGATATTATGGATATAAACACCACTGCTTCCAACACCAAATCCCTCTGCTTGGGAAGCTAGGCTCTCAGGGCAGGTGACCTGCTTTCACAGGGCCCTCTGCTTTGCTCAGTAGTGGCCAGGACACTTGTCACTCAGCATTTACTGAGGGCCTGTGGTAGACCGGGTGAAGATGCTGTGTGGACTCTGTCCATTATGTGGCCTCTGTTCACAGATTCCAAAGGCTCAGAAAAGGGAAGGCATGTCTACTGGGTCATACAGAAACCTGGGGGGGGGCGGGGCAGAGCAGGAGCTCGGGCAAGAGTTTCCTGAACCAGGGTTCTTAGGAAGGAGCACAGCCAGGGAGCTGAGGGAGGTGTGAGACTGAAGTGGGAACTCAGGCCCCAGGCCTAGCTGCTTCCTCAGTGGAACTGGAGGAATCTTAGCCCATGTGGAACAGAGGGATCTCCAATGCCAATGGCTGCAGATGCTAGATGGCACCCCTACGGGCAAGCTGGGGGATATCTGCTTTATCGGTAATTTTTCTTGACTTTGGGACAAAAGCAGTTGAAGCAGTAAGGGTTGATTTTAGCTCACAACATGAGGTGGCTGGTCACATTGCACCCTCTGCGGAAGGCAGATGGAGAGGAACGCTGCTGCCCAGCTTGGAGTCTCCTCATCTGGTCCAGGCCCCACCGTATGGATAGTACCACCCATGTTCAGAGTGGGTTGGTCCTCCCCATGTAAACCTGGAAATGTTACCCTCACAGACATGTCCAAAGGTGTATCTCCTAGTGACTAAATCTTGTCAAGTTGAAAATGAGACTTGACCCTTGCACCTGACATCCGGCCCTGCCTCCTGACCTAACTGGCTCTGAGATGCTGGGTCAGGAGTCCTTTTGTCCCTTGACCCACTGTGTCTACCTCTGAGGATGAGGCCACTTCAGTGCCTGTGGTGACCTTGGAAGGCCTGACTTTTCAGTAACCTAGCCCTGGGAAAAACCATGGGGAAGGTGGGCACAGGGACACCAGGCAGCTTTTCCCTTCTTGGCCCTTGAACACCTTCCAGCCTGATTCTGTGATCTGATGGACAGGTCTCAGCTGTCTTGGCTCCTGGAGTAGGGTGGTTGTGCACACTTCTGTGCTTTGGGCTTGGGTTGTGCTGTTTCCCTGGGTTCTGCTGCAAGTGATTTTAGTCCTCCAGGTCTCAAAGGTTTGATTAATGGTATAAAAAAGACTCGCGGCACAGCCTTTCCTGTTTGACAGATGTCTGAGTGGGCTGGGAGCAGTGAGGAGGTAAAGGCAGCGTGGAGTCCCTGGATCTGGATGCTTAGCCTGCAGCTTGGGAGGCCTTAGATTTGGGGAGCTAAGCCTACAGCCTGGGCCACAGCATACTCTCTGCAGAGCCTGGGTTGGGGCTGGATTTGAAGCCTGCTTGCTTTAACCCCACCCCCTGTTCTGGCAAGTTAGAAGCCAAGAGTACCAAAGGCTCCTCCTAGTTAGTGCCAGGGCTGTTAGGGGAATCATCCCCTAGACTTCATTAGGCCCTGCTGGCAGAAGACCTTACGCATGGGAAGGAGCAAGTCCCTATCAGAGACCTGTTGCCATCCCTAGGACTGGGGCCTCTCACAGCATCAGGACCATTCCTGTCTAAGCAACAGGAATGACAGCCATGATGGAGCAAGACTCCCTTTCTGGGTATCAGTTTGGGTTAAGTGAGTCGTTAGACAAATGCTCACCTGTGTGTCCCCTGTGTGTGCCTGAACTCTCTAGTTCTCACCAAACTCAGCATGTATGAGTATCCAGCCTGAACACGAAGAGACTGATACTCAGAGAGGCAACTCCTCAAAATCTGTAGGGCCAGGATCTGACCTCATGTCATCTCCCACTGGAGATGAACAGACTGAGTTGCTCCCCTGCACCCCACTGCACCCACTGAGGACAACCTCAGCATAAGGATTTCCTGGGCCCTTGACAAAATACTTGCTTGTGGGCCCCATGGAAGACCCATAGAGACAGAGGAGACACTGCCTTACCGGTTCCACCATGACCATGACACGGTGCTCTCAGTACTTCGGGTCCCCCACCCCACCCCATTGCTTGGACTCCTAAAGCCTTGCACGGCCTCTGCGGCCTTAGCCCCAGCCCTCATTACCTGTGTTCCCCTTTTTCTTCTTGGCTAGAAGCACGACTTTTCACCTCACCCCTCTTGGTAGTTTGGGACAGATCACCTTGTGTGTATGTGATTATGTGTACAAATGTATACACGTGAGTATCTCTGTGTGTGTGTGTTGGTACATGTTTGTGTGTATACACATGTGTTCATGTGGGTATGGATGCATAAATGAAGGTGTGTTTGTGTGTGCGTTCATGTTGGTATGTGTGTGTTTATTTGTGTGTTTAAGTGGGTGGGTGTGGGCTTGTGGGTGAACCTGCATACACTTGTATTCATGTGTTTGTATGTGTAAGTGTGTGTTCATATGGGTTTTGTGTGATTTTGTTTGTCTTTGTGTATGTATGTGTGTTCATGTTGGTGTGGTGCAAGTCTGTGTATGACTTGTGTGTTTGCTTACGTAGGTGTTGGTTTGGGCATATATCTGTGCTTGTATGTTCATGTGTATGTGCATGCATTGTGTGTTTGCTTGTGTGGGTGTTGGTTCACTTGTGTGTCATGTGTGTATGCATGTGTATGTGTGTGTACATGCTATGTTCACGTGAGAGTGGGTGCATGTGTATAAGTAGTTATGCACGTGTGTGTATAGGTTCTCATACACTGTATACAAGTGTGTATGGAAGCCAGAAGTCAACCTTATGCAGTGGCTCTGGTGCCTTCTCTTTGTTTTTTGAGATATTGTCTCTTATTGCCCTGAAACCCACTGATTCAACAAGGCTGCCTGGCCAGTGAGATCCCCCGTCTTCATCTCCATCTCCTCAGCAATGGGGTTGCATGCATGTACCACGGTGCTGGCTTTTCAACATGGGTGCTGGCGATCTAACTCAGGTCCTCAGCTTCTAAGGCAAGCACTTTAACAGCTGAACCATGTCTACTTCTGAAAAATAAGAAGTACATTTTAACAAGTACCGGGGCCTTAGGGAGCCGGTGAGAGGTGGGACTAGTTTTGAGAGCAGGGGTAGCGTGGTGGGCTGTGGCAGTGGGTGGCAGCTGGCTGGCCTGGGAAGCTAAGAAGCAGGGTAAAGGTGAAGGAGTGAGTGTCTTGTTTGCCCATAGTGGGAAGGCTGGTGGGAGCGGGGAGGACCTAGCCCTGGTCTTGGAAGTATCGCAGCTGAACCCTTGGTAAGGGAACGAGGAAGAGAGCAGGTGTCTTCAGTGTCCTCTTCCTGGGCTGCTTGCTCCTGGGTCCTAGCCACTGGGAGCAGCGGCTTTCCTTTCAAGCCACACATAGCCAGGAGGTGGCGCTTCTGGGACGGGTTTCTGTCCTCTTGGCCACACCTCACACCTGAACAATCCCTCTGGCGTGTTCTCTCTCTCCCCACTCACCTCACTATCCGAGTGTGAGCTTAATTTTCCCAGAGGTAACTGCATCTGAGTCCAGTCACCCTGCGAGCAGGCCATGTCCTGTCATCTAACAGGGAGATTGTCTTTTTGCTTTCCCGATGTGCTAGAGGAGGCGGCCGGTTTATCAAGACTTCCTGTCTGCTAATTTCATGCTTCAATTCAGGTCAGTCCCTTATCGACCTCTTCCTATTTTCCAGTCTCTGCTTGCAACCGGGGACATGGCCACAGACGGGACAGAGTCTCCAGCCAAGAAGTATAAAAAATAGTGAGAACACGGTGGGATAATTCCACACTAGACATATTCATTTGCCATGTAATGTGAACGTCCGTACAGGCGGTAGCTGATTCTGTTGCCCTGGAGGAGAACTCTGGAGGGTTTCCGAGAGGAAGCAGTGTTTGAAAAAGTTTCTGAGGGCTGAATAGGAACTTATTGTACAAAGAGGCAGTTCACATCTCATAGTTGAAAGCATAGACAGTTGCTTTATTATTTCTCCCCATTCTTTCTCCATATGAGTTGGGGAAAGAATTTTAGCTGT